TCAGCGACCTCCTCATCTTCCATCTTACTCGCCGCTTTCCCTCCTCCCCCCCACCCCTCCTCGCGCCTGCGCCCTGAAGCGCGCCTCCGTCGCGGGCGCCCGCACGCAAGGCTTTACTCAATGGACCCCGCCCACTGTCGAGTCCGGAAGTGGAGAGAGGCCCTGGCCCTTAAGCGTAGAGGAGGCCATCTTTGAAGAGGGCAGAAGAATTAGAAAGTTGCCATTTTTCTTAAGGGTAAAGTGTTATTTCTCTTACTGAATGGGAGGAAGTCCGTGTGAAGTCATCCTTTTGAGTACGGAAAGTGTGTTCTTTGGAACCATCTTTTCTAAGGTCAGGCAATTACGGAGAACTTTTTTTTAAGTAACTGAAGTTTTCAAGATTCTGAAAACCTCTGTATCTCAACAAAAGATGAGAAATAGCCTCTAATGCGCAAACATTATTTATGTTAGGGTGAAAATGATCACAGTATTTACTACTTACAAAGATATTCCAAGCATCTATGAACACCACTTTATTTCCTTGATCGTGAGGTAAAAATGTTACCATTAGTGAACAGTTTTTGCACTTGAGCTGGACAACTGAAGTTCTCGTGAGTCTTTATCGACGGATAAATATATTAGCATTAACTGAGAAACTTACTTATTTGCCTTCCTAAACAGTGTTCCTTTTTGATTTTTCCTCTCCAATACACAAGTGTCTTGGGCTCCAGACACTTCCAACTTGAACAACTGTATGATCTTATGTAAGTTACTTAAAGTTTCTGTGCCTCAGTGTTCCCAATAATGAAGAAAGATAATAGCTATTACAAAGGTAGGTTATAAGGATTAAGCGAATTGCTATGCTGAAAATCGTGAAACAGTGGTTGGCCCATAAGAGTTCAAAGGATTTGCTATTATTTTGGGATGTCTTGCCTAAATTAAAAGATTTATAATTCTCACCTCTCTAATCCTTACTTCCCCAAAACACAAAAAGAGGGGGAAAAGCAAACACCATGTGCTTTTATTCTCATGGGCATGTTCAATATTAAAAGCATGTCATTTGTAGTGTTGCATTTGGCTGCTATAATCAAGTTACCTGACCAAATGTGGGTTTTTTCCCCTCAAATTTTTGGCATGCCATTATTTTTTCTAAAGTAACAGTTTCCTGGAATTTTGAAATTTGTATCCCTAATTATTATTATAAATGTAGGCATGCGTTAAATATTACGTCTTTAGGAAGTAAAGTGATATGCTTACCAATTCTCTGACTTCCTGTCCTATAGATCATCTCTAGGTCTGTCCACAGTCCACTGTTTGTATCTATACGCGCATGTGAAAACCACTCACTGGACACTAAAGGCTTCCAAAGTTGTTTTCCAGCCCTGAGATATCCTGGTGTCTCCAATTCATAGTTAGGTTTTTAATTGGCATCTCCACATGGATCTTTCACTGGCCGCTCAAATTCTTTTTCTGAAATACAACTAATGAAGGATTTTTTTCTTGTTAAATCTCTAATTATATTTACTGTGCATACATTCTTCTTCAAGCCCATTCTCTGAGTCTTAGTTGCAGAATGGTGATTGAGGCTATCAGACCTCCCCTAAATCTCACTCTTAGGTGTGCCTAGTTTTTCCACAAATGCATTCGCCCTCCCAGCAGTTTTAGGCCTTGTGTGTGACCAGCAGAGGGAGCTAGATTCTTATAATTTTGTCATATTTGGCAATAAGCCTTAACAAAGGAATTTGGTGGGCCTTCTTGAGACTGAATTTTCTAGAAGAGAAAGATCTTGGGGATCGGTGAGGAGGCTGCAAAGGAAAGAGGTTTTGTTCCATTAAGTGGGCAATTAGAGGCAGCCTTGTGACCTTGGGCAAATCCCCTCTTCATCTCTAATGTGGTGATGGGACCAAATAAGCTCTAAAATTGAGGAAGTGGTGGTGATTTCTCCTCTTGGGGGAATACCCCAAAAGTTGAGGCAGTGACATGTGCAACTATTGGCAGAAATGCTAAAGCATGAGCTTCTTTTTCTTGTGAAATATATTTGAAACACCTTTCTTTTGGGGGTCTTTCTTTTGAGGGGCTTGCATTCAGAACTGCAGGCACCTTTGATATATGTGATAGGAATAGAAAAGCAAAACTCATAGTGAACTATTTGATTCACGCTGAGATTGTGTAGTCACTTGTGTTGAGAAATATATGGCAATTTACTAACACTTAACATGTACATGCCTTTTGACCCAGCTATTATATTGCTAGAACATTTCCCTGTAGATAATTTGCTCATATGCAAATAACAAATATACAAGGATATTCATTGTTGTTTTGTTAGCCTCACAAAAGACTGGAAACAAAAGTCCATCACTAGAGGATTTGTTTTAAAATTACATGCTATTTTCATCCAAGTGAATAGAATGCAATTGGTTAACAGAATTTAGATGGCTCCAAATATACTGACATCAAATAATCTTGAGGGACTATAGTCTTTTTTTTAAGACGCTTTTGCTGTAGTTTACTGCTCTTTGTAGATTTATTTATTTATGTATGTGTATGTCTGTGTATGCATCGTGGCAGTTAGGAGGTTGGTGGGATGGGCTTCATTTTTCGTATATATCCTTGTGTACCTTTTGAATATTGTTCGATGTGCACATCTGTCGTGGTCAGACCAGCCGATGAAGTTCTCTGCCATTAACAAAGACTCGAGTCTAAATGCATTTGCAATAGGTGGAGGCTGGGGAGAACCATCAAGAGCAGCTCTGCCTTTCACTCTCCCAGCCCAAGCTTTTATTGAAGATATGGACAAAGGAACAAGAAAACAGCACACAATTGTGTTTTTGCTTATTCAGATTAGTAAGTTACTGCTGAAAACAAGTTTTCCTGGTTAGTGGGGAACATGCGCACAAGCCAGCACGTCCTCAGAGAACAGGAGTCAATTCTGGGAAGAAGTTCTGTTTGCAGAACTTCAACGTCCTGGAACTCCGTATGAAGAGTAAACAGGTATTCTCCAAAAACCTGGTCCAGATCCCTTTAGGGCATCAGGCTCCCAACACAGATCTTCTAAATAAGTACATGTCCCAAAAGGCCTTCATACTGCAGAGAGATTATTTTAAAACTCCATTTTCATCAAATATCCTCCTGCCCTGGAATCTCCATGACCTATCATGTAATGTCCAGTCTTCCTTCTGATATTGCTGTCCATATATAAACCTGGCTCAATCTTATCTCCTCCTGTTTATCAGGAACAGCATGTGTAAAGTTCAAGAACACAGACTTTAAAATAAGAACCCCTGGCTCAAATCCTACTTGAGATGAGGGTGAGCTACTTAATCCCTTTGTGCAAAGTAGACTCACTGATGACACTTACTTAGTGTGAAGCACCATTAACAAGGGTCCACAATAAACATCAACCATGATTCTTAAAAACTTTGCTTTGGGCTTCCCTGGTGGCTCGGGGGTTGAGCGCTGGGCTGCGAGGCTGCCCGCAGCCTCTGCAGCGCCGGTTCGATCCCCGGCCACCAGCAAGGCAGACCTCTCCTGCCACGCCCGCTGCTCCCCTCAGCAGTGTCCTCCATCTCTGGTGAATTCTCTCGCCCTCCCGTGCTTCTGACTGTACCCAGTGCTTGTATGAATAAATAAATAAATCTTTAAAAAAAATTTTGCTTTAATGATAATACTTTTGTGCTTATCACAATTTAGAGTTTTATATTGGCTTATTTGTTTACTCTCTGTCTCTCCCAGTAGACTATACAGGGCCTGCTATGAGGGCAGGGACTTTGTTAGTTTTATTTAAAATTATATCAGCATACATATCACAGCATTTGACACATAGCAGGTGCTCACTGTGTGTCACTCTATTTTGGATGCTGCTGGTAAAACAGGGAGCAAAGCAGACAAAAGTTTTGCTGTCTTTGAGCTAGGAGATTCAGGGTGGAGTGTTTCTGTACTGACCTTCTTCTGACATGATCTTCCGGTTCCAGACCTGATTGGGTTATCAGAATTCTTTGGAAAGGGGGCAGAGAGGGCTTTAGAAGTCTAAAGTGGGTCGTGAAACCTGTATTTTTTAAAGAAGTGAGATTCTCTCGTTTCTCTTGCTGGGTCGTCTACTTTCCCAGGGGTCTCTTAGTCCAAAATGAGAAACTCTAGTACTTTCTAGAATGAGGTTGATCTAAGTCTTCTCAATAACACCTTGCCCTCCCGTCCTGAGAGGAGACTTTGAATCTGATCCAGGCTATTTCCCAGGAGGTGCAGGCTGGTCTGTTGGCAGCTCATGGATGCGTGAGTTTGAGGCGCAGGAGGTGAAGACCCCCTTGGCTCTGCATGGCTGGCATTTCCTTACACCATATTCTGTAGGGATGCGTTCACCAGGTGGCTCCTTTGGAAAGGGGATTCTGATAGAACCCACCTCCTGGTGATAGTGGCATTGAAAAGCCCAGGAGCTTGGCGAGCAGATAAATGCACCTGAGTTCCTGCCTTGCCCTCCTCGCCTTCTTACTTCTCCCTTCTCAAGTGTGGTTCTGGGAAAATTACTGCTATTTCTCGGCGCCTGTTTCCTCATATGAAAAACAGAGTTAGTAACAACTCACACCGGGGGCTGCTACGGTTTTGGGCGGCTTCGCTGGCACAAGCGAGGCCCTGCGTGTCCCTCCCTCCGATGACATCCACGGGCACCCGCATCCGAGCACCCGCATCCGCCACAGGAGGGCTGCGGGCCTCCCCAGGGTCCCCGGAGTACACATGAGGTCATTCTAGGTCAAACATCTCTCCCAATCTCGAGCCTTTAAAACCGCCCCAGGCGTCGCAAAGGAGGGCGGGCGCCACTCCAGCGCCGTCTCGAAGGGCCCAGCAAGGCGAGCCGGACTGGCCGAGCCTCGCGGCCCCGGCTCCGCGGCCCCGCACGCGCTCCCCAGCCTCAGGGGAACCCGCGTCGGGGCCACGCCCCTTCCCGGCAAGGTCCCGCCCCCGGGCCCGCCGCGCTGACGTGTGTGCGCGCGCGTCCTCCGCGCCGGCCTCCGGCGCATGCGTGCTCCGCGCTGTCTTCTCTCTGCCAGAGCAGCCGCGGCGGTGGTGTTTGAGTGGACGAAGATGGCGGCTCCGAGCGGCTTAGGGTCCCTCCGGCTGTGAGGTTCCCCGAGTGCGGCAAGCGCGACCTGAGGCGCAGCGCCTCTGTTTCGGCCCTGTCCCAGGCTCCCTCACCGCCATCGCCAGCGGAGCGAACCCGAGAGCGTGGCGCGGGCTGGGCCAGGTGAGGCCTCTCCCCTCCGGGGGCTGCGGCGGGGAGCCGGCGCCCCTTGCCCTTTATGCCCCGGGCCCGCACGGGGCAGTGTGCGCCCCGGGTCCAGCGCAAGCCCTGCGTCCCGCGTGGAGGTCGGGGCTGGCTGCTCTGGAAGTGGGGAGTCTTGCCATCGTCATCCTCAGCCTCCCTAGGTTGGGCAGGGAGAAGAGTCCCTTTTCTGACAACCCTAGGGATGGAAACGAACCCGGCCCCTCTCCGCAAGCACACTGGGTCTCGTCCTCTCGCCGGGGCCACGAAAGGGTGTGTGACCTGGGCTAGGGTGGCTGTTGGGGTGTCAGACAATCTTTCACCCCGCCCCCAAATCTTTAACGCCTTTGGAGAGGAGACGGAGTCCGGTGCCATCCCCGATTGGGGCTGCGGCGAGGGGTCAGCAGCTCAGAAGCTTGCAGCTGCCACGGGAAGATTTTGGAGTGGGCTCTGAAAAATACAATCCAGTCAGCCTTCCCTACCCTTTAGCTTTTCGAGTGTTCCTTCAGAGAAGTAGGAACTGCGGAGCTCCTTGGTGGAGAAGGCAATCCGTGCTCTGACTGTGGAAGGCTTCTGGTGAGAATTGTTTGTGCACAGAAAACGGTGGAGGGTGGGAACGAATTTGTAAACGAAGAAAAAAAAAAAACAAACCAACAACTGTTAAGATCCTGATAGTCTCTGCAGAGTAACTTCGGCTAACGATGTTGGTTTGAAAGCTTTGGGTTATTCGGGAGTAGTCGATTGTTTTTGTCTGTAAAATCTCTCCATTTTATTAGGAAAATAAAAGCTTTATTTCTTAATTGCCAAAGTCTGGGCTCTTCTGTGGTGGGATTCTGATTGCTCTAGATGAAGATTCAGGCACATTCCCTATTCTCACTTGCTAACAGCGACATTGAACTATGCTTGTAATTCTTTTTTGAGAACTCCTTTTTGTTGTTCAGATGCTGATTTGGAGACTGATTTACTTTTTCTCACATGGGGGGCGCGGGGTGTTGCACTTGTTCTGTAAGGAATAACTGGAGGTGATGACTTTAGTTTGGACACACCAAATACCTTTTGTAACTTAAATTTGTTCTGCATATGCTTAAGAATGATCACATCTTGGGTTTAAATTTTGAGAAGAAATGCCATCATTTAGAATTGAACATTTAAAATTCAGTCTAGCTTTTATAGTGAATAGTGATGCTATGTCAAATTCCTAACTTTGAGTGTATTTATTCATATGTCTAATTTGGGTATCCTTTCTATTTTAGGTTGTCATTTCATACCCTGTAACTGTTTACTTTTGACAAGCTCAGTATTACCAATCTACATTGGCCCATGGGAATGTTGTCTACTTCAAAAAGCTTTTTAATTGTTAAAATGACAACTTTCTTTGTTTAATGTTAGCTAATTCTTTGACCATGTTCCCCCCCTCCCCCTTTCGTAAAGTCTTTTTCATGAAGCTTTAGTGTCTTTGCTAAGGACATAAACCTGAATCACCAGCTTCTCGGTGGTAGAAAACTGGAGAGTCAGTCTCCATTTCAATTTGCTAATAAAGTCAGGAAATTAATGCAGTAAAACATCCTGGTGCTTTGACTTTAGGCTTTTTGGCCTAATGTGTTGCATTGTTGTGCTAAATCATCATCAGGTATTGATGCAACTTTATGACATCCATGACATCATTCTCCAGCATCTTGCCTTTTGTAAGCAAGTCCTTACCTTCTCAGTCACAAAAAGAACAAAATCAGGAAAAACAGTTTAGCATGCTTAATATCTGATTTCTAGAAGAGCCTTATCTATCACTGCTTTATGTAGTGAAAATTTCTGTAAGATTCAGAGCTCTGTGATTACTACCTATTATGAAGAGCAAGCATAGAAAATGCTAGCTAAAGCTCTGTGCTTTGTGAAAATATTGGTTCCAAGGAGAAGTTATCTCCAAGATAAACAATTACTTGACTATCTTTTTGATTTCAGGATTATTTGTAGTTAGTGAATTAGCAACTCCTTACAAAACCAAAAGCCATTTGGTTAAATTCTGCCCTCCCCACCTCACAAGATATGTGACTCAGAAGAGGTAATGTTTGTGAGAGTGCTTTGTAATATAAAAGGTAAATGCAAGTCTGACTGTTCAGTAATTTTATGAAAACACCAATTGACAGCTCTGTATGTTCTGGACATTTCGGGAAGTAGTTGTCTAAAAGTTGCATGTATACTTTGGTTGTGGAGTCGGGCAAGGAAACTAGCTAAGTATATTGTAGTGTAAGAAGTGCACTGAATCCAACTAAGGGAAACAAGGAAGGCTTCTCAGATCCAGGATTTGCCTTTCCCCAATCTTTCCTATTCTTCTGCAGGAAAGTCTGCCTTTTGTGAGTGACTTGCTTTTTATAAAAACTTAAAATTTTTTTAATCATGAGTTCTTTTATTCATTCACTGTCATGGCACTTCCCACACAGTATGCCCCAGTTATGATTTCTGCATTCTTAAAAATCCAGCTGAGTCTTAGAAGAACCTTTGTGAGGGTGAGTCATACACAGGCAACAAACACAAACATTAGAGTTGCAATTAAAATATCTCAGATTACTAAGTGGTGACAACTTTGATGATATTTTTGTTTTTTTTATAAACTGGCACAAAAAAGCACTATATGATTTTAATTTGATCACATCTAGTTAATGTTTAATTGTCTTTTAGGATGTTTACTACAGGTTGGTTATTAGTACTGTCCCCCTTCTCCCAACAGTAAATACAGTAGTAGGTTCGCTTCTTTTGGGGTAAAGCTGATAGTGTAAGCCAGACCAGACTCAGCTCTCGAAACTACTTAAGAGATTAAGATGCTTAGCATCTCTGATACTGAACTTCTGTGTCCCAATACAAGTTCCTCACCTCACTGCTATGGTGATTGTATAATTAATTTATCATGTATTGCCTACATTGCAATATTTTTATGAGTTTTAGGGTCCAGTCAAATCTTTAAGTGGTGCTATATTACTTGAACATGTCGCAGTCTATATCTTAACTGAAAATGAGTGCTTTAAGGTTGTGCTTGACAGAAAAGTGAAGATGTGTTTGTTCATTTGTCTGTATTGTGACAGTTGGTTACACAGACAGATAAGACCTAGAGACAAATCATTTAAAAATTGCTCAGTATTAGCTTGCAGTATATTGATAGCTTATTTTAAAGATTATGGTGGTATTCTTCTACATGTCTTGTATGATTATGGCTTAGTGGGACTCCTACAGCTTACTTGTAATTGTATTTTGTTATTCTTACATGTATTGGAAAGTAAATTTGCTTTCAATTCTGATTCTTCCTGTATTAAATTTCTACTTTGTAAACTTCTCTATCATTTTTAATTTTAATCCTTTCCATTATTGCTCTTCTGTGTTTTGCTTTCAAGGTGGAAGTAGCTTGTTTAGATAACTAAATCTGACAAATGTATAGATATTATATAAAGGAATAGTTACTTGTAAAATTTTACTCCAAGCAGTAACTTAGATTAGAGGTAGTTCATTTAATTCTATTAAGGCAAGTAAGTAGTTGAGCTTGGTAATTGTCCCTTAGGAGTATTAATTTTTAGTATACTCTTGATTCAACTTTTCTAGGGAATTCACTGGTGTGGCACACTCTTCCAAATTTGTTCTCCTTTATTATCCTCATTTTAAATGTTTCATTCATGTTGCCTTATAGAGAAAAAGTATATTTTTCCAGAATGAACCTCTTGGTGCATTGTTTGGCGTTTCATCGATACTGTTTTAACTAAATATTGCTTCTTCTATATTCTGACTTTTCAGGAAGCCAAGGGAAAATGGAATTTATCCTTCTGTTTGATATTTGTTTTTAAAAACATTTTTACTGGTGGTCTTGCTGTCTCTTGCCAAAAAGTAACAGTATTTTATCTTGGACCAAGCAGTATTGTTTGTAGTGTGTTCTCAGGACTGTTTCTTTCTTTTTTTGTTTTTTTTTTTTTTGCATAGAAACTGGGGTATAGGCCAGAGGTGGAGGGGGAGTGAGCAGATTCACCAGAGACAGAGTGGGGAGCAGAATAGGCTGGTCTACTGAAATACACTGCTGAAGGGAGTAGCCGGGGAAACAGGAGAGGTCTCCTGTGCCCTATGTGGGTCAGTTCCCTGCCCAGGGATGGAACTTAGGCCTTAGAGGTAATAGTGCTGAGACTTAACCTCTAGGCCACCAGGGAAGCCCACAGGACTGTTTCTTAACTTACACTTTGAGATACTTAATAACATCTTTTCAAATAGATCCTTTGATCTTGTCAAGATCAAACAAGCTAGTCATTTCCTTATTAATCTCAAGTTTTACTTCCCTGTGAATCCTCCACATTTTGATCACTCTCTTCCACACCTTTTCCCCATTTTTCTCAGTAAATGTAGTTTTCTTTTTTCTTTTCTTTTTTCAAAGATTTATTTATTTATGCATACAAGAGCTGGTGTACAGGACAGAGATGGAGGGGGTGAGAGGATTCACCAGAGACAGAGTGGGGAACAGAACAGGCCGACTGAAATACACTGTTGAGGGGAGCAGCGGGCCAGACAGGAGAGGTCTGCTGCGCCATGTGGGTTGCTCCCTGGCAGGCCAGGGATCTAACTTGTGCTGCAGAGTCTGCGGATTGCCTCATAGTGCAGTGCTTAACCCCTTGCGCCACCAGGGTGGGTCCAGTAAATGTAGTTTTCTCTTCCAGAAATGTGTTTCATGATCATAGTGGAATTTTGGCATACAGTTCCCCTTAGAGGTGCATTATGATGGGTGGGTTAGAATTTCACATTTTATTTCATTTTAAAGTAACAATAGTAATGAACCTTGAAGACATTATACTAAGTGAAATAAGCCAGACACAAGAGAACAAATATTTTATGATTATACTTATATGAATGCCTAGAGAAGACCAGTTTATAGAGACAGAAAGTAGGATAGTAGTTGCCAGAAGCTAGGGAGAGAAGGAACTTGGGGGTTATTGTTTACTGGGTATGGAGATTCAGATTGG